TCAAAAAGAATATTAAAAAAGATAAAAAGAAGACAAAAGAGAGATTAAAAAGAAATAAAAAAAGACAAAAAGAATATTAAAAAAGATAAAAAGAAGACAAAAGAGAGATTAAAAAGAAATAAAAAAAGACAAAAAGAATATTAAAAAAAGATAAAAAAGAAACAAAAAAAGACCTAAAAAGGCCCCCAAAACCCGCAAGCTCTCTAACCCCCCAAACCCTCAAACCCTAATTGCAAACCCTCGCAAACCCTCGCAAACCCTCGCAAACCCTCGCAAACCCTCGCAAACCCTTTCAAACCCTTTTTAAACCCTTTCGAAGCCCCGAAAGCCCCCCTTGTAACCCCTTTTCTAAACCCTCTCCAAACCCTCGCCAAACCCTCGCAAACCCTCGCCAAACCCTCGCAAACCCTCGCCAAACCCTCGCAAACCCTCTCCAAACCATCTCCAAACCCTCTTAAACCCTCTTAAACCCTCTTAAACCCTCTCAAACTTTCCTAAACCCCCTTAAACCCTCTTAAACCCTCCTAAACCCTCTCAAACCCTCTTAAACCCTCTCAAACTTTCCTAAACCCTCTCAAACCCCCTTAAACCCCCTTAAACCCCCTTAAACCCTCCTAAACCCTCTCAAACCCTCCTAAACCCTCCTAAACCCCCTTAAACCCTCCTAAACCCTCTCAAACCCTCCTAAACCCTCCTAAACCCCCTTAAACCCTCCTGAACCCTCCTAAACCCTCCTAAACCCTCCTAAACCCTCTTAAACCCTCCAAACCCTCACTGGAGATAGCCGAAAAAGAGGTTTCCGGCGAGCTCTATGGCCAAGTGCTTCAAAGCCCCCCCAGGGGCCGCCAAAGCCAGCCGCAGCTCTGCTGCGCATGCGCTGCGGCCGAGGGTCACTTCTGCTGCTGCTGCGAGGCCAGCAGCACGAAGTGCGGAGACGCAGCCCCCGGGGCCCAGGTGGCCCAGCAGCGCAGCAGCAGCAGCAGCAGCAGCAGCAGCAGCAGCAGCAGCAGCAGCAGCAGCAGCAGAGGGGTGCGAGGAGGGAATGGGGGAAGCTGAGGTGGAGAGACACTGCAGCAGCAGGAGAAGCAGCAAAGAGAAGTTAAAAGCCACTCACATGAGGCAGGCCCTGCAGCACAAACCAGCAGCAGCAGCAGCAGCAGCAGCAAATGGGGAAAAGTGGCTTGGGACAACGGCGCGCCAACAGACTCCTAACGCAGCAGCAACAGCAGCAGCAACAGCAGCAGCAGCAGCAGCAGCAGCAGCAACAGCAGCAGCAGCGAAGGCTCCGCCCCTTGGGTGCTGCTGTGCAGCTGTGGGGCGAGAACAAGACGAAGCAAGCGCGCCAAAGCGCAGCAGCAGCAGCGAAACACCCATCAGCAGCAGCAGCAGCAGCAGCAGCAGCAGCAGCAGCAGCAGCAGCAGCAGCAGCAGTACTTGATATCGGAGCAAGGGGGCCTCCTGGGGCCTTCTGTCTCCAGCACGAAGACAAACTCAATAATATGTGTCTGTCGATTTGCTGGCAGCATCAGCAGCATTTTGCTGAGGTCCTGCGGCCGCGCAACAGGCTGCTGCTGCTGCTGCTGCTGCTGCTGCTGCAGCAGCGGTGGCTGCGCAGCAGCACCCGCAGCAGCAGCAGCAGCAAGAGAGACGGAAGAGGCATTCTTTGTCTTTTGGGCCTCCGTAAAGTCCCTGGGGTTGGGGCAGGCGGGGGGCCCCATGGGGGCCCCTGCTTCTGCGTGTGCTGCTGCAGTTTCTGCTGCTGCTGCAGTTTCTGCTGCTGCTGCAGTTGCTGCTGCAGTTGCTGCTGTTGCTGCTGCTGCTGCAGGGAGCCAGTGGGAGGCGAAGAGCGGGGGCTGGGGGTTGAGGGCCTCGACCTCGGAGGCCCTCTGCTCGGCGCAGTTAAACTGCTGCTGCTGCTGCTGCTGCTGCTGCTGCTGCTGCTGCTGCTGCTGCTGCAGCGGCCCCAGGGCCTCCGCAGCAAGCCGCAGCAGGACCTGCGGCTCCCCGGGGCCCACCAGCACCAGCTTCAGGGCCCCGGGGCTGTAGTAGTGCATGCGCCATGCTGCAGCAGCAGCAGCAACATCAACATCTGCTGCCAGCACATCAACTCCGAGAGATTCCACAAAAACAAATCTCGGAGACACAAAACCCCCGAGGGGCCCCTCTCCGGGGGGCCCCCCTGGCAGCAGGGGGCCCCCCTGCCCCGCAGCAGCGCCCCCGCGCTGCTGCTGCTGCTGCTGCTGCTGCTGCTGCTGCTGCTGCTGGGGGGGCTGCTGCTGGTCGCCCCGCGTGAGCTGCAGCGAGGGCGGGAAGGGGGGCCCGCCCGCTGCTGCTGCTGCTGCTGCTGCTGCTGCTGCTTGCTGCCACTGCTGCTCCTTTTGCTGCTGCTGTTGCTGCTGCTGCTGCTGCTGCGCTTGCAAGCACTACCCAACTACTAATTCAACTACCACTTTCTTATCTATTATTTATTTATTTATTTATTTATTTATTTATTTATTTATTTATTTATTTATTTATTTATTTATTTATTTCTTCTTCTGGATTTGCTGCGGACTTGAAAAGCCACCGAAGTGTCTTCTTCGGAGACCGCCAGGTGCAGCGGCTGCGGCCCCCCAAGTGCTTCGACGAGAGCAGCAAAAGACTCATGCTGCTGCTGCTGCTGCTGCCGCTGCTGCTGCTGCTGCTGCTGCTGCTGCGGCGGCGGCGGCGGCGGCTGCGGCTGCTGCTGCGGCTGCTGCTGCTGCGGCTGCTGCTGCTGCGGCTGCTGCTGCTGCTGCTGCTGCTGCTGCTGCTGCTGCTGCTGCGGCTGCTGCTG